CACGCTTTTATTCAGACAACAGGTTCCGGTATCGAGCTGGTTCTGTGCCGAATTCTTTACTCTGTGTGTGCCCCCTGCCCACCACCACCACCACCACAATTATATCTGTGCCTGGGTGCGTGTTTGTGTCTGTGTATCCGTATGTCAGTCAGTGTGCACGGATTTCACAACTACTTCTTCGTGTGTTCGCTTCGAGGCACCTACGCTTGATAAGAAAACGCCGGGAAGGAGGAAATTCTTAAGTTTCATTCCAGCGAGGTTTCACTGTGGACTGTGCTTGGTGTAAGTTTTTAAATTATAATAATATTGTATTTTCTCTCCTCTGTTGTTGACGTTGTCTGTTTTAGAGTAGGCCTTCTTACTTACTTACTTACTTACTTACTTAATTACTTAATTACTTACTTACTTACTTACTTACTTACTTACTTACTTACTTACTTACTTACTTACTTACTTATTTACTTATTACTACCCGTCCCGCCTTCAAAGGATCTCCAGCTCTGTCCGTTTTGGGCCATCTTGGTCAACGTCCCCCACGAATGATTTTAGAGTGGTAGTTTACAATGTGTCGTCGTTTGTTCTCAAGTCAAGTTGTCGCCACTGGATCACTCAATGGCGTGCAGCCTATGTAGGTTGGGAATTACGAATATCATTATCAACATATTATTATTATTCATTGCGAGCTTATAATTTTACGCAAAGTAATTTATCATTTCATTTTCTGAAAAGTGAAGGATCTGAAACATTCCAACTGGAAAGAAAAACGTGTTTACAAGATTAACACAGCATATTAAAATAAGTTAACATGTTACAATGGCATAGCCTATAGTGTAACTATGGATGCATTGGTTACACTACAATGTGTGTACATTTTGATACTAAATAATCTGATGGCGTCGGTTTGAGGGGAATAAGATACAAGTAACAAAAAATTAAGATTAAAAAAGGTAGGGTGATTTTCTTACAAAAGCTCTGCATCTCTGATTTTCTGAACTGTCTCAGACATATTAGGATGAAAGAAGTGCTGCTTGACACAGAGTGCCACAGAGTGCTTGACACAGAGTGCCACAGAGTGCTTGACACAGAGTGCCACAGAGTGCTTGACACAGAGTGCCACAGAGTGCTTGACACAGAGTGCCACAGAGTGCTTGACACAGAGTGCAGGGAACGTCATTATTTTCTTCTTTGATATCAGGGAGCGTCAAACTGAATTTGCCACTCTGGGGAAACACTAGCTTGCTGTCAGGGGGAGATGGTACAGAGATGTTTCGGTCGACTATTATTATTATTAATATTTTATTATTATTATTATTATAATCATTTTAATATTTTCCTCATTTTCATAATTCATGTTTATA